AAAAAAAAAAAAAAAAAAAGCTTTATAGTTGCCAAAACAAAAATGCTCTTTAGTTACTAAAGCTTCCAGGCATACAATGGTCACCAGCCATAATATCTACCCCTGGAAAAGGGAATGCAGGTATGAACCCACCTGTTTGAGACTCTTCTGAAGTCACAGGACTGGTGGGGACAGGAGAAAGTACCAGGGCTCCTAGTTTTTATTCTGATGGTCTTTTTATTGCTGGCACCTAAATGGAATCCAGACTCCATGCAAGAAGATACACTGCTTTGGGGAAATCTAAGGTTCCCAGAGAATATTTAACTTAGAACCAGATGGTTTAGAGATGCAATCTGATGGGGCATGGTGCAGAAATGTTGGGGAACCAGAGAATTAGACCAGCACTCTTGGGGTAACCCCATAATGGGTGCTTATATAATTGGGCCATTTTCTCTACCACAGGGGTTTGTTTGCCTTGGGAAGGAGAACAGAGCAATGCACTGCTTAGGCCATCTGCTGTAAATGCCGTGCGCTTTTCCAAAACAGCTTTGAAAGATGAATGTTATGAGCTCTGGGAGGAGAGGGCTGAGTCACGTAAAGCTCACGGCACTCAGCCCTGTTGCCTGGATTTGAACAGGTTGATCCAGAGATCAAGGGAAAACCAAGGATGCTGGTGTATGAAAAGCTCCTTGGGAAGTGGTTAGGAGTATGGAAATGGGGCAGGGTCTACTCCATCTCTCCAGTCCCTAAGGAAAGGCAGTGTTTCCTAGGAGCCATTTGGTCTTTGGCCATCAGCATCTCCTCATGAGATGAGAAAAGGAGAGTGTTCAGGGCCATTCTGGAGGCTGCCAGAGCCATGCCTTTCCAACATTAATGTGCAGATCCTGTTAAAAGTGCAGATTCTGATACAGCAAGTCTGGAGTGAGACCAGAGATGCTGATACAGCTGGCGGGTGGGCCAGATCTCAGTTTGAGAAACAGGGTAACAGGATATCCTTCCCCTGCCTTACTCTGATCAGCTTTCCCTAAGGCAAATTGGACACATTCTACTCAGAACCACAGGGGGGCACCCGAGCTTACCAGATTACTTGAAAGCTTTTTAAACCTGGAGGCCTGAGCCCCAGGTATTCCAGACAACCACATGCCATCCCTTGCCTCTGGAAGATGCAAAAATTCTATGGCTGTTGTCTGCAGAAGATGGAACAGCTGGAACCGCAGGAGTGTACTATGAGTGACACACTTTAAGGGCCTTCCACTTTTCCTGGTGGACTTGTGGGGTCCCTGCAGTGGAAGTATGAACCCCATTACTTTCTGCTGGCCACAGGCGAACACTGTGAGCAGAGACCCAGAAGACATAGCTCCAGACACAGCAGAGGGGCAGAAAATTAGAGGCCCTTAGGTTACCAGGCACCAATGATGGGAAGAGAAACCACCATAAGGGGGAGAGTCTCAGTGGTTTATGCTGAGGCACAAGTGGGGTTTGGAATGCTCCTTGGCTCCTCTTTGCTTTTATTGGAAATGAAGGGACACCACACCTCACCTGTGCCTCAATATAAGCCAGGGAATCCTTTCCTTTACACTGGGAACAGGGGTTAGGAACCATGCAGGTCAGAGAACACAGTTCCAAGAACTTTGCCACTTTTGGTTATCATTCTCACCAGTGATTAGCAACTAAATCCTTAACACAAAAGGGCTTGGGAGCTTGTCTTTGGGGGCAAAAAAAAAAAAAAA